ATGTGAATGAGTGCAGCCATGGTTAGTTGAGCTGGATTTCACTACAGAACTCTCAGTCTTTGTTTCCCAAACTGTTGTAATATGTGTGACTTGTTCTTGTTGTGACCTCTTCCAGGGACATCCAACAGGAAAGCCTGAAAGGAGCGCACTCTCACTGGCGACACAGCTTCTCCTTTGTCAACAATCACTACTTATTCCTGGCTTGCTTCTTCATCGTTTTGCTTTCTATTATACTGTACTTACGGCGACTCCGCCGCATTCATCGGCGCACAGCTCAGCGTTGCACCCCCTCGTCTGTACCGTGGCTGGAAGAGGGCCTTGGCTCGCCAACAATCCTCATCAATCTCTAAAATTTGTAGAGCGTAAAGTCTGGGCAGCGCGTCTGTTTCCCATCGCCAATCTTCGCTCCTTTTCTCTCTGAAGCCATCTCCTTTGTCAGTGACTCTTTGAAGGCTGCTCCACCTTAATGTGTTTTGAGAGATGGTACAAATAAGGAACACCTTGCATGAATCTTCAGGCTTGCCTGAGGAAAGTATGTGCGATTAAGTTAAAAATTCATAATTATATTTTTGCCTGTCTAATTCAGAGGGCAGCTGCCCTTAAGTGTCTCTTATTTATTTCCAGAAATAAATGGTACTTTATTTCCAGGTTATCCATAGGGAAATAATTTCTTAGTCAAACTTTTTAATTTCACAAAGTTTGACCAATAAACTATAGTGGCTTTTTTTAAAATTTCTATTTATGTATGGATATTTACAGTTCTGTATGCCTTTGCCTTTTCTTTGTGCATGTACACATCTTTTTTGTTGTTGTTTTTAAAGTTAGATGAAATAAGCACTCACCTATTTGTATAGAAACCTCAAATGCAATTAATTATAATCAGTAGAAGGAGAATTTTTTTTTTTTGCACTGCAGTTGAGAAGCACGTCTAGCAGGAATAGTCTTTTTCTGTTTGAGTGTGTCTGTGCGCATCGCTCCAAAAGTGACAAGTAGCCTTGAACAGCTATGCTAGTGCAATACATGTCTTATCACTGCAATGCATCTACCCTTTTCTCGTGAGCCTCAGTCTTTTCTAAGGCCTTGCTGAAAGTCTTGCGTGTGGATATCTGGCTGTTCGGTTGGATACTGTTGCATAT